ACTGTATATCACTGCCGAGAGTCCTTATGTGCATTACTCTTAGGTATACCTATATGTTAGTTGAGGTCCCTGAGTAGGCGTCTCACTGCGACATGACCGATGCTTGTGAAGCGCGACATGTTTATTCGCAACGCAGGCGTTACTATCTGTCGCAAATCGGTCGTAAATTGTCTCACTCAAGATGAGCTCATAGTTATGCGCGATTGTCTTTACGTCTACGTATATGAGCCTTCCCGTTCTGCGTATTTACTTGTATCGTAAATGCAAGTGGACATGCATGTGTTACCAATATTCTCCGAAATCTTCCCACATCTCTACGCATACTTGCTAAGACATTCACCTCGACATTATTAGTCCTAAATACGATGCGGAGCATCAATACCTTCTTCATCGCTTTATCTCGAATCTTTGCCCTCACTTGGGTTTCGCTGGCCTGCCTCATGGTGTAGATAGTATCAATACTCACAGCACCTATACGTATACTCCCTACTTTGTATTTCCTCCGCCGAATTCATATACGACAGGCATGAAAAATACAAACAGCAGTACAGAGCAATGTTTGTGATGAATGTGAAGGTCATGCCGGAGAAGCTGCAACACGATCCCACAGACCCCACAGTCTACTATCCCGTTCGGTGCGAGTACTGCTCAACCGAAGTGGGTGTGGTAGACCCAGACCAAGTGTACCACTTCTTCAACGTCATCGCCTCCGACCCGCAATAATAGCGGGACGAGGCTGTTATTAATAATAAGTAAAGCGGAGCATGCTCATTGCCAATCATTACATATCGTTTATGGTGTATGATACGGTTTAAGATGTTCCTCACAGTACTCTTGGCTGTGAGTACTGCTCAGCCGCAGCGGGAGGGGTAACCCCACACCACACCAGGTGCATCTCTTTTATATTGTTGTCACCTCTGGACCGTAACAATAGTAGTAAGCCTACGAAGAATAAAACAAGCTTGGCGGACTCACAGTATACTTTTGACCTGTACTTCATTGGACTGAAACGGCATAGTCGTACTACTACTGTACCGGCCCGTGTGATGTGACGACTGCTCTGCTCGACCACGTATAGTCAGCCTAAGTTTCTGTAGTTGTTATGTCACCGCCTCCCACCCACGCTATTAATAGCAATATAAATAAATAAATCAAGCCTGGCGAATTCGCTTGGTTTTACACTTTTGTCTTGTACTTTATAGTAATCCATTAGATTGAAGCTACAGAAACGCACTAATGCGCTGGCCCATGCGACGGTATTGACACGCAGAAGTTGGCGTATATGACCCCGACCAACTGTAACTACCACTGTATCGATGTATCGGCCTCCGACCCAAAACAGAAAACAGCCGAGAAACAAACAATATCACTGTGAAGGATATTCCATCAGTGGACAGAGAACTATAACCAATCCCTTTCTGCACCTGGTACTTCTTTTCTGGGCGCACGGGATGATCTCACAGGTCATATTTGCTTTGGGTTGTTCAGGGTGCATTCAATCGACGAGGAGTTTAGAAACGATATAATAGCCTGTTCTGCTACTTGTTGTCCGAGAATGAGATAGATTATACCCGATTTCAAAATTCACTATTGCTTAGTGTAGTTCGACTATTGTTTTAAAAGATAGGGTTGGTGGGCTTGGACTGGGTGCACCTGACTCACGCTACCAGTCAATAATCAAGCGTTCCCATTGGATAATAAGAATGTATGCTACTGCCCTCTTGAAATAGATAAAGACTATCCCTATCGCATCTATACTACATATCATAACACAATCAGGTGGTACAGCCACCACACATTCAGGCACAGGTATCAACGCACGCTCCGAACCACAAACAACAGGAACCCTCACAAACAACTGACGAAGTAGAACGTTTGGTGCCATAGAAAACTGTGCCGTTGGCCTTAGGTACACCTGCCCTCTCACCAGTGACTCTTCTGGTTAGAAATCTGACACCGCCGGATTCGTTCTAATTATTTATTGGGAGTTCAGTCCTAATTCATATTGTTCTATATTTTCTCGAATTGGCGCACATCTTGTGTAGCGTACACCGCATGAGTCGTATTCGTACAGTCATCCAAGTACTATATTTTGTGTCTTGCTGGATGTCCAAGCACTTTTCGCACAGTCGTTCAAGTACTATATTATGTGTCTTGCTGGGTATCCAAGCGCGTCGGGGGCTATTCATTGTTGAAGTCCACTCGGACAGTTCGTTCCACCGCCATAGTTGATGTACAATTTGCATTATATTCTATCGTTGCCAATCAATTAGGCCAAGCTAGCTACCTACCTAGCTAGCCATCTCATTCAGCATCTCGCTCGCAAAGATTCGTCTGGTCAACCGCAGATCTTGATTCATCTGCTGGCTGGTCGAATACAAACTGCGTGAGATGTCCTTGAACAAACCCAGCCCTATTCTATCCTACTCCACAGGCCTATTATCTTTCAGTCTACCTACTTAGTCCTCTCATTCAGCACCTCCGCGCTCTCCGAGAAATGTCTGGCCAATCGCGGAACTTAATCCATCTGCTGGCGGGTCACATACAAACTCTGACGAAATGTCCTTGAACAAACCCCGCCCTATTATATTTATAGTACCCTACTCCACAGGCCTATTATCTTCCAGTCTACCTACTTAGTTTTCTCATTCAGTATCTCGGCACTCCCCGAGTGCCGCCTGGCCAACCGCGGCCCTTTATTCATCGGCAGACTGATCGCATACAAACTGGGTGAGATGTCCTTGAACAGACTCGCCGTCCCCTGCTCTCGCTTCTCAAAGCTCCTGTGTGTACCGTTCATAATCATGTCGGCCAGAGAGCAGTACGCGAGCATCCACGCACGGCGCACCTCGTTGGATACACACATGGACTTCACTTCTTCTTCGTGGCGGTTGGCTCTTTGCTCCATGAGAGTGGGTATGTTTTTCTTACCTGGATTGGTGGGGTGGAGATGAGATGAGATGAGATGCAATATGATAGCCAGGTGTTGTATGGTAGATGCTTTAGTAAGAAAGAATGAAGAAAAAAATGTCCATATTCAAGTATTTTTCTCTCCTTTCCTTCCCTTTCCACTTTAGAAGTGGGGTTGGTGGAGGGCATGCGATTGACACGTGTATGCGGGTGAACAGTGTTCTAAAAATAGATTGCCTCTACGAGTGGTTAGGTAACGAGTTGCGGGTGGACAGAGGTGGGTTGGGGTGGGGTGTACTAAGCTCGAAATTCTTAGCATGTACAGGAGTGGCCGGGGTAGCTTAACATATTGAAGAAAGCGTTGGTACTTCCAATCACGTACGTCCAACGCATTCGATACCTCCCCATTCATAGTACAGTCCTTCTATATCCCAGCCACCAGTGTACAATACACCTGATACTCTCAGACCAAAGTAGCCGATGGTCAGGGCAATAGGCATAATGAACAAATATAACAAAGACATCACACTTCTAGAAAACATTACTAGTAGTTAGCATTCGATACCTCCACATGCATAGTCCTTCTATATCCCAGTCACCAGTGTATAATACACCTGATACTCTCAGACCAAAGTAGCCGATGGTCAGGGCAATAGGCATAATGAACAAATATAACAAAGACATCACACTTCTAGAAAACAATACTAGTAGTTATGAGAGCAGCATACCTGTAGTTACCGGTGGCACGGTAAAAATTGATTCTGCAGAAAAAAAGACGAGAAAATATGTTAAGACAAAAACAATACTGGGAAGGACGGTAGACAAAACAAATAGGCTTTAGCTGAGGAACTATAATGCGCGAATTAAATAGAACTTCATAGACAGACCAGCTCAATATCAAATACCAGACGTGTTTATCTGATGTGTATGCGAACTGAGTGCATCTCAAATATAGGGATCACTCCAACAACCAAGGTGTTGCCTGTGTCGACTAGACATGCGTGTCAACTAGACATGCTTCTAAGTATCCTTTCATTGCTCAGGAATCGACTCCACGGTATATATATATATATATATATATATATATATATCTTTGCATATACCTTTTATCGTCTTTGGCTTGACCGGGGCCAGACTCGATGACGAGGCACTGCGGTCGCTGATACACTCACTTGAACATAACTTCTCGAGGTGCGTCTCGTTGCGCGAATCCAAATACGCAAAGGTGCATTCACAAGTGGCCAGGCGGTTGACGATGGCGTGGATAAGGGACTGTAAGGCGAGAGACATGTGTTAAGTCAATAGGATCACGTTCAAGCATATAATTTGCCTATAAATGAACTGTACGCAGCATTATATTCCCCCTTGTAATCTACGGATCAGATATATGCATATGCATGAGCCTGAAACATACCCTGGATTACATGAAAACTATACACACACGTGTGGCCCTGGTACGTAGACACAAAGCGTACTCCAAAATATACACACGTGTCCTCCTGCTATACAAATGCATGAAGTGTACACACAACCCAGACATAGTCTCACACGCACACGCACACACCCTTCCACCAGATATGAAGCGGTCTCGTCCTATAGCCAGGGTGTGATGCACCGTGACGAGCGACTCCATATTGCGCTCGAATTCGGGCGACATGTGGCCCCTCTCTATCTTGGGTATTTCGTTCACGAGCATGTTCAGCATGTTGGCCAGCTTTTTGCTTTGTACAAACTGTGGGATGTAGACGGGTGTCACGTACAGAATCAGCACATGCAGCTACTATATCTCGTAGAAATCAGAGATAAGAAGCAAAGTCACTGGCAAGTGTCGGAATAGAGGAAAGGATTCTGTTTTAAAATTATGATATGAAGTCGAGCTGTCTTTATACTTGATGATGTGTGTGAGAGGGGAGCGAACGTACAGTCCTAAAACAAAATCGATGTATATATGTATATGTATGCATGTATATATGTATATATATATATATATATATATGTATGTATGTATGAATATATGTATGTGTGTGTGTGTGTGTGTGTGTGTGTGTGTGTGTGTGCATGTATGTATGTTTGTATCTATTATACGCATA